AGTGATTGGTGACAGTGAGGGGGGGGTGACTAGTGACAGTGAGGGGGGGGTGACTGGTGACAGTGAGGGGGGTGACAGTGAGGGTGGGTGACTAGTGACAGTGAGGGGGTGTGATTGGTGCCTACCTGTCTCTCTGCTTCCTCTCCCAGGCTGCTGCTCCTTCCCCTCCTGGCTCTGTGTGAAAGGAGTAAACAGGAAGTGAGGTCACTTCCTGGCCCCGCCTCTCCCATCACACAGAGCCGCATGGGAGAGGAAGCCGGAGATCTGGCAGAGAGCAGGTGAAGCTGCCAGGTCTCATGGGGGGGGGGTGAATAGCAGAGCGGTAGGTTGTGGGGGCCCCGCGCTGCATCAGGGGCCCCACAACCTATCAATGAAAAAGCTTTATTTTATTATTTTGCTGTTCCAGTTGGAGAGATCTCTGATCTCTCCAGCTGGATCATGGCTGTGCTGCCGGGCCCCTGACTGCCTCGGGCCCTCGGTCCGTGACCGATATGCCCGAGTGGTCAGTCCGCCCCTGCTTCTAGGCAGGATTTTTCCAGACTGCTTCTATTGAAGGAGACAGACAAGCAGTGATACTTTACTTTTGCTGTACCAATGTGGGAGTGGGAAACAGTCTGGGTTATTAAGTCTAGTATGAGACTAAGATTAGGTTGCAGATGTATTTAACTATGCATTACTGCCAGGTGCACTTCAAACAACTTTGAGTGGGAGATAGAAGATTAACATGTTGCTATTGTTCCTAGGTTATCGAAATACAGTTGTTAATTTTTTTTATTAGTTGACTGTTTAGAGAAAGAAAATACTTGTTTGAGGTGTGTGGTGTAACAAACAAAGAAAAAGTTCCTCTTCAGTAGCCTGGGTCATTTATTCTAGTGTGAGACTAGGTTTAGCTTGCAGCTGTGTCAGTCACACACAGTTACAGGCAGACAGTAACACATACAGTCAGAGACAGTCATGCACACAGTTACAGGCAGACAATCACATATACATTCACACACGGTCACTGGCAGACACACACACACACACACAGTAAAAGGCAGCAGCAAACAGTCACATGCACACAGTCACAGACAGATAGTCACACACGGAGACAGGCAACATCAAACAGTCACAGGCAGACAGTCAAACATACATAGTCACATGCAGACAGTCACACACATAGTTATAGGCAGACAGTTACACGCACAGTCAGTTACAGGTAGTCACACAAAGTCATAGCCAGGCAGTCACAGACACAGTTAAAGGCAGACAGTCACATATACAGTCACACACACACACATTCACAGGCAGAGAGTCACACACACATACACAGTTACAGTCACACACAAAGTTACAGGCAACATCACACAGTTACAGGCAAACAGTTACACACAGGGACGTATTAGCCGCGAGGCAAACAAGGCATTTGCCTTGGGCGGCATTTTTCAGGGGGCAGCAAAAAACGCCGCCCCCCAAATGCCCAGGGCAGATGCCTTGTTAGCCTTGCGGCTAACTGACATCCCGGGCGGCCGGCGAGGGAGCACTTCCTATGAGCTGACTGCTCAGCTCCCTCGCGCACCGCAAAGTGAGGCTGGGAGCCGGAAGATGACGTCATCTTCCGGCTCCCAGCCTCACTCTGCAGCCGGCGCGCGAGGGAGCTGAGCAGTCAGCTCATAGGTAGTGCACCCTCGCCGGCCGCCCACCTGTCAGCGCCGCCCGCCTGACCTGCAGCCACCGGACCACCAGGGAGAGAGACCCCCCAGCACTCCCAAAGGTAAGGAGGTTGGGGGGGGGATTTAAATTAAAAAAAAGTTAATGTGTGTGTGTGTGTCTGACTGTGTGTGTGTGTGTGTCTGACTGTGTGTGTGTGTGTTTGTGTCTGACTGTGTCTGTGTGTGTGTGTGTTTGTGTATGTGTCTGACTGTGTGTGTGTGTTTGTGTGTGTTTGTGCGGGGGGGGAGGGGGGCGCCTGAGTTTTGTCCTGCCTAGGGCAGCACAAAACCAGGATACACCACTGGTTACACACATACACACAGTTACACGCAGACAGTTACACACACACACAGTCATGCACACAGTTACAGACAGACAATCACATATACATTCACACACTGTCACAGGCAGACAGTTACACACACACACACACAGTAAAAGGCAGCAGCAGACAGTCACATGCACACCGTCACAGACAGTCACACACTGATACAGGCAGCATCAAACAGTCACAGGCAGACAGTCACACATACATAGTCACATGCATACAGTCACACACAGTTACAGGCAGACAGTCACACATACAGTCAGAGACAGTCATGCACACAGTTACAGGCAGACAATCACATATACATTCACACACGGTCACTGGCAGACACACACACACACACACACACAGTAAAAGGCAGCAGCAAACAGTCACATGCACACAGTCACAGACAGATAGTCACACACGGAGACAGGCAACATCAAACAGTCACAGGCAGACAGTCAAACATACATAGTCACATGCAGACAGTCACACACATAGTTATAGGCAGACAGTTACACGCACAGTCAGTTACAGGTAGTCACACAAAGTCATAGCCAGGCAGTCACAGACACAGTTAAAGGCAGACAGTCACATATACAGTCACACACACACACATTCACAGGCAGAGAGTCACACACACATAAACAGTTACAGTCACACACAAAGTTACAGGCAACATCACACAGTTACAGGCAAACAGTTACACACATACACACAGTTACACGCAGACAGTTACACACACACACACACACACACACAGTCATGCACACAGTTACAGGCAGACAATCACATATACATTCACACACTGTCACAGGCAGACAGTTACACACACACACAGTAAAAGGCAGCAGCAGACAGTCACATGCACACCGTCACAGACAGTCACACACTGATACAGGCAGCATCAAACAGTCACAGGCAGACAGTCACACATACATAGTCACATGCAGACAGTCACACACAGTTACAGGCAGACAGTCACACATACAGTCAGAGACAGTCATGCACACAGTTACTGGCAGACAATCACATATACATTCACACACAGATGGTCACAGGCAGACAGTCACACACACAAAGTAAAAGGCAGCAGCAGACAGTCACATGCACACAGTCACAGACAGTCACACACTGATACAGGCAACATCAAACAGTCACAGGCAGACAGTCACACATACATAGTCACATGCATGTAACTGGGTGATGTTTCCTGTATCAGTGTGTGTGACTGTAACAGTCACACACATAGTTATAGGCAGACAGTTACACACACAGTCAGTTACAGGTAGTCACACACAGTCCTAGCCAGCCAGTCACACACACAGTTACAGGCAGACAGTCACACATACAGTCACACACATTCACAGGCAGAGAGTCACACACACATACACAGTTACAGGCAACATCACACAGTTACAGGCAGATGGTTACACACACACACACAAACACACCACAAAATTACAGGCAGACAGTTTTACACACACACACACACACACACACATACAGTTACAGGAAGTCACACACACACACACACACACAAATTTACAGACAGACAGTTACACACACACACAGTTACAGGCAGACAGTTTTACAGACACAGTCACACACACACACACACACACTTTTACTTACAGACAGGAGCTGGAGGAGGAGTAGATTCCCTGAAGTCCTTTCCTGAAGCCTGTTAGGTGGAGGAGTATTGA